CACGGTGGCAGCAGCTCGTCCATCCGATCGCATGGGTTCTACCGCAATGACTCCTTCCCACAAGTTTTCGGCCACATTTCTTGTCCCTTATTGCAAAATTGAAAAGCAGTATGTGTGAACAAGGGGAACAGCCACCCAGCATGCGGTTTAGAGTTCTGGGGTAAAGGCATGTACTTAACGGGCTGAGATACCATGTTGGCGCGTAATGAATGCTGGCCTAGGGTTTGAGTTTATACGCAACATTCTAACCCCGAATCATATCCCTGGACAGCCCCTAGATTGGGCTTAGAGTTCTGGGGGGGTGGTCTGGGTGTAGTGTCCCACAGTGTTCATTGTGGTGTTCTTGCGGTCACTGCCCAATATCCCTACGGGATGCCTAGATATCTCGACGGTAAAACCCGAAAGGTCTATCCTGACCGACCTCTGGAGAAGGCGATCGGCCACTGCAAAGAAGGTGTTCAGCAAGGCCCAGCCGACCTCCAAAGCAGGTTACCAGGGCTTGGGGCTTCGAGGGTTGAGGGCTTAGGGCTCCGGGTTTATATATGGGGCTTTGGGGTTTAGGCCAGGCGTTTGGGGATCTGCTATCGCCGGTCTTTCAGAGATGGGCTCATGCTCAGACAAGGAGAGACCCCTCTCGTCAGCGGGGTCCTCAGCAGCTGGGTAAGGAGCCCTCATTTTGAAGCCCCAGTGAAACTCCATCACGACATCAAGGAGATGGGCTCCAATTCGGGACCGTGTTGCTGGCCGGTTTACTCCGCAGTTGAAGCCTCAAGACTCAAGGCCACAAGCTCAGGTTTTGGGTTAGGGTTCCGGGAGGATACAGGCTAGAAGCACTCAAGCAGCTGCTGTTGTGACGAGCGCTAGCAACACCCACCCAGATTGAGGTGCGCGCCGGCTGCTTTCTACTGATGTGCAGCAGTACCACACAGGAGTTCACAAGAAAACTTCAGCCAGACAGACTCAAGACAGGGCTACAAGCGCGCATGACATATGACAAGGAACTCCGAACATTGTCAGGCACTTTCAGCTAGTCGAGAACATCTTGGCAGAACAGCTTTCGCTTGCAGGTCGGACATCACAGCAACGAGTCCCGTGAAAAGTCTCAATGTTCTGGTCTCAGCCGTAGATGACATCATAGATGATAATCTGGCTATGATTGCGCGTCAAGGACCTAGCAGCTCGACCCGGTGATTCGGGAAGTCCTCATTAGAGCTGCCACGTGTGCCACGTGTCAGTCAAAAGAGTCCATACGGAACCATGATCAGAAACGTACACCTCCTTAAAGCCCCCCCCCTTCTCGTGCAAAAAGTCGCAGAGGCCATGAAGAAGCAAGAAGGGCATTTGTGGCACTAGTAGAGTTCGGGACAGGCCCCTCCTGACCCGGGGGTGGGCTTTCTTTCCCAACTCCTACACTGCAACCAGCCATAGTTGACACAGCAAAGACTTACTTATGCCAAACCCGCAGGCCCCAAATTATGAAAAAAAAACTAGCCCCTTGCTTGCTAATAAACCCAAACCTCTGAACCCCTGAACCCCAAACACCCGCTGAGCCTTGTAAACCCAAAAGGCCTGAACCCTAAATCCTGAAACCCCTAAAACCCTGAAGCCTAGATCCTGAAAACCCCCAAATCCCTGAACCCTAGACCCTGAAAACCCCCAAATCCCTGAACAAAATAACCCCCGGAAGATGCATCTCGGCTGGCGCACCCCAGTGAGGTGCTGCCGGGGCATTCTCGACGCGTAGAGACCACTACCTTCGAGCTTTGCAGGTGTTTTGGGGCTTTAGGATTTTGGGGTTTTGGGGTTTTGAAGTTTTGGGTATGTGGCTTTTGCTTTTTGGTGATTTTGCGGCAACCCGAAACCTCATAATGTTCAAAAAGTGTTGGCTCCGGGATCCGGAGCTGAAGGCTGTTGGTGCGTAAGGCTTCGGGCATTGGTTCGCCATTCGTCGTAGCTGAAACTACTTGCTGAGATACACTGTAATATACTGTGCCATGTAATCTTGTGCAAACTTTAGTTCCGAAGATCCCGGCTGGCTCCCCGCAGGAATCTCACCGAGCCTGTCGATATGCCTCTGCACAGTGATCCAGACATGACTGCAATTGAAATCCTGCAACCACTCCTAACGCCGAGGCGGTTGCTGTACAAGTCTGGCTCCAAGTAGGGAGCAGGAATCCCGGCACTGGCAACAACGCACGCCAGCACCGTCAAGGGCCCCGGCCGCAAAGCATGATGAAGATTGAGACCATCATTCCCGTGTTCACCTGGTTGGGGCGCTAGACGAAGGATGGCCGGTGAAGCTCAGATCATTGCCTTCGGGACATCTGAATACAACACAACAAAAAAGTGCATGTGTTTTCAGTACATCCGTGTACATATATTTATGCATACATGTGTGCTTCCATATATTTAAGTTTTCATTCCTCATATAACCCTATATGTGTGACATGTGCAATTTGATGTGCCATGAAGTGTTGGCTTCATTGCCTGATGCCTTGATCGAGCGTTCGGGACATCGCTACAGTTGCCAGGAAGCCTAAAAACTCTAAGTCAGTCCCAACTCATCCCAACAAAAGAAACTCTGAACTCCTCCCCCCCTCCCCCCCGTGCCATGGCCTGCAGAGGCTGCGGGTAGAAGCTCTCCACTGCTAGGCCAGCCACCTGGGCCCCGGCTTGGATCTTCCCTGGGCTGCCTTGCTTTAGGGCCTTCAGGGTTTAGGGGTTTAGCGAGTTTCAGCACTCACTCTCGGACTTACCTGGGCGAGGGTGAGTGGTGTTTTTTCCCACCCGCTTCGCTGACTAGGTCGAACTGCAGGGAAAACCCAGACTCCAGTGGTTTAGGGTTTGGGGGTTTAGGGGTTTTGGGGTTTAGGGTTTAGGGCCTTCAGGGTTTTTGGACACTCAGACTGGGACAACACCTGGTTGTCTCCGAAGATAAAGGTCATCAAGCTCGTAAACACAACCCCCCCGGGAGCTTCGGGTTCGGGCTTGAAATCTTTAATCAGAATTTTGGCTGCTACTGCAAACATCGCGTGCCTCACACTCTAACGCTTCGAGCCGCTGGTTGCCGCAGGATGCTTGGGGCAGAGACTGAGTCTTGGAGATTTCTAGACTACTGGAAAACCGAAACCGCCCCTTAAATGCGAAACAAACTTCGAAACCTTCTACCCCTTCAGAAGGGTGGTGCTCCAGTGCTGCTGGCTGCGGGGATTCAGGGGTTGATGAGTTCCGGGCCGACGGCCCCTGCGGCCGACGATGACGACATCACTTATGATGATGGTGACCCTGACGACACGGAGGAACCACTTGACACCAGGATCAACCGAGTGCTACTCCAGCGGCAATCTGCATGGCCACTGCGCCTCTCGCCTTCCCTACCTGATAAAGAAATCCTGGGTTTTTATTTGGGTTCTTAATATGAACCCTTATATATTTGGGGTCCTTTGGAACTTGTTTGTCACCTGCGTCGAGTCTTTCCAGCAGGGGCCTCCTGTTGCCCCTGCGGCCTGGAGAGGGAGCGTGCGACAGCGCCGGTAGCCTTCGGGGGCTCTGCCTTCTGGAGCCCTCTTCGCATCTGTACTTCTGGGAAGGCTTTTCTTAGAGCCTCCTGCCGAATTGATATTCCGGGATTTTCAGGGTTGGAACGCACACGAAGCCCGAATACAGGATCCTGAAGAATTAGACAAGAGTTTTAGGGGTATCTGAAGAAGTAACTCGATAAGGCTATCAGAAATACCATTAACTAAATTTTCCTAACCCATGAACAACCCCATAGCACAAAATCCTGTGAAACCCGTAAAGTTTCAAAACCTCATATGCACGGAGTGTTGGTGCACGTTGTTCCTACTTATTCAGACCCCCCCTCCCCGTATTGCACTCGTGTGCTCCCAGGATGCCAGTTCGTTTCTCCTCCGAGTCATCGTTCAAGCTAAGCTGGCGGAAAATCCGATTACGAAAATATTACACCAGGAACCCTGAACCCGAAGCTTAAACCGCTCACAGGGGATCCTAAACTTTACACCCTCAACCTGACCATCCTATGACTTGAGACCCTGGGCCCACAGAACCCGAACACGACTAGGGATCCGAACTCAGCTTCGGAGGGTCATTCTAATTATAGGGCCTTCGGCTTGTTTCGGGATCGAGACGTTTGGGGGGTCAGTGCTCTTTCTCGGATTGAAGCAAGTACGTGTAAGGTCTAATTAAGGGGTTTTATAGGCCTTCGGAGGAGGGGTTTTTGGAGGTTTCGGGGCTTGGAAGATTTTGGGGAAGATTGGGTTTGGGGGGAAGGCATCCACCAAAGGCATCCGTGCTGCGCATAGACACGCTCGAGCCTTCAACGCGGGAAGCCGCGTTGAAGTTACGAAATTGGCATTGCAAAATCCTATGGACAGCGCATGTCGCAGAGTTCCTTCATACGCTCTGCGACAGCTTAAACGAGAGCGTGTCCCAGGGACTCCAAAGATCTCTGAACTCAGGGATAGCTCCTTAAATGGCAGAAAGCGGTCGTGAATCACGGGAACGTCCCTAAGTTACACGACAAGTCACACGCAAGCAGGAACCCCCCAAGGGATACTTGGAGTCTCTGGCTCCGGATAGGTCAAAGAAATGCACCGGCTCCGGGTCTGCGAAAACTATGTGTGGCTCTTTGAAGTTGGAACCCCTTTGTTAGAGGAGCCAGGTGCTCGTATGCCAAATCCATGCGGAATTTGGAGAACACGCCCAAAGGTAGGCCCGAAACAGACACTTCGTTGCACTGCGAAGTCGGGCACCTAAACCTCACTCAAAGACTAGAGAGAAAACAAGCGCCAGTCAAAGCAAACCACACAAACCCAAGCCATCCCAAGCTCTGGTCTTTAAGACTCTCGTGCATTCCTCTGCCCCAAAGCCTGCGTTCCTCTGCCCTAGAACTTCCCAAACCCGAAGGCCAAAGGCCCTGAGCCCTCAGAGAAGTGAGGACCTCCCTATCCGGAGAGCGACGGCATGCATCGCCTGGTGCTTTAGGCGACGTCCATGGGCGCCTCAACGTAGACCAGGTCATCCGACTCCTGGTGATCTTTAGAGTTTAAGGTGAAGGGAAGGGGGGGGGGTTCAGGGAAATAGGCGGAGTTTAGGATTCGGGGTGTAAGGTGTGAGGTCGGGGCTTCAGGAGAACAGGACTTGCTTCGGGATGCAGGTTCTCTTGTCTTGAAGCTTCGGGTGTCGGATGTTGAGTTCAGGGCAGGTGAGCAGTACCCTCACCATCATGACCCGCATCGTCGTCATCGTCATCGTCATCATCATCATCATCATCATCGAGGCTTTGACAGTCACAGATACACTCGTTTGGGGCTGGGGTGTTGAAGCCACGTCCACAGGAATGTCATCGAGTGTTCGACCATGTTGCCCAGGCTGCGGCCGTTTCGAAATGTCACGCTTCTGTTGGTTAAAGCTCGCTTTAGGGCTCTTTGCTAACCCGCTAGGAAGGTTTCGATGCTTACTCTCGGACAAGCTGGGGGGGAGTAGAGTTCGAACCTACTTTCTGGAACTGCCCAGCGAACCAGCCAAACCTCAACAGCTCGCCACGGCACAGGTGTTTGTTGACACTCCCGGACAAATCTAGGGTGAATAGCCCGGTCCTGCAGAGCTTGGTGCTGCCGGCGAAGGCGGAGAAGGCCAGCCACGAAGGAGCCCGCCGCGAGGGTCGCAGCCACAAAGAGGAAGGGCGATGGAGTCGGAACGGCTGCCAACTCGGCCGGTGCCGTGGCTTGCTCCTCTCGGGCTGCGTGTTCTCTCTCTCTCTCTCTGTTTCTCCCTGTCTCTCTCATTCGCTCTCATCTGGCTCTCTCTTCTAGGCATGAGGGACTGTTTAGATCCCCCGGGCCGCTTGCGCTACGGGGCGTTAAGGAGACCGTGAAAACATCACAGAGGTTTCATCCGGGGGAAATGTGCTAAGTCGGTTGAAGCCTGATCTCTCTCTCTCTCTCTCTCTGTCTTTCAGGGGCTCCTCCTTCTTCTCCTTCTCTTCCCTTTCCTTCTCCGCCTGCTCCTCCTTCTGCTCCTCCTCCCGCTCTTGGCGCTCCTGCTTTGCTTCGGCCGCCAGCTCCTGACGCAGGTGCTCCTGCTCTGCCGCCAGCTCCTTGCGCAGGCTCTCGCGCTCTGAGGCGAGCTCTGCATGGAGCCGCTGCTTCTCTGCATCCAGCTCTGCAGTCTCCTTCACCACCGGCTCGCCGACCAGCAACGCAGGGCCTTTCGCTGCGGCGGCTTTGGCGGCGGCCCTGGCGGCCGCCTGCTTTGCTTCGGCCGCGAGCTCCTTGCGCAGCCTTTCGTGCTCCGACGCGAGCTCTGCATGGAGGCTGGCCCTCTCCGACGACAGCTCCTCCTGCAAGCGCTGCTTCTCATGCTGGCGCTCGAGCTGCTCGCGCTGGCGCTCAGACATCTCCTGCGGCTCTGCCGGCTCTGCCTTGTCCTTCTCTGACGCCTCGGAGCCCTTGTCCTTCTCAGAGTCTGAGCTCTTCTTTTCAGAGTCTGCGTGGTTGTGCTTACGGGCACCGGAGCTGGAGGCATCCGCCACGAAAAGCGCGGGGTTTCCCTGAGCGCCCTGACCAGCGTTCCCTTGCATATACTTCGCGTAGCCGTTCACGTATTGCTTGTAGCCACTTCCCTCGCAGGTCGCGGCGAGGGGGTCAAGTGAGAGTAACTACTACATCTCCCCCATAACAAACCCTGCATTACATAATGCGAACAGGCTCACGTCTTGTTGGAAACCCGGCCGGGGAATGGCTTTCAGCTCCCTCAATCTTGCCATATTCCCCTCTCCAGGTTGGCCATCCCCGCTCACAACCCAAAACGACATGTGCAAACAGCGACACGACAACGACTAATGCTCATCAAAAACTGGACGATGTGTTTGGGGGCCTGATGCCTCAGGCTTAGCCAATCTGCCTGGCTTACGTGGGTGCTGCTTTGGATGTTGCCACATTGCTCTATCCATGATAACTTTGTTTCAACAGATGCCGGGTTGCACCACAAACAGCTCAGCTTCACGAGCACTGAAACTTCCAATTCATTTTCTCAGCCCTTCAATTTTGGACGATCGTGCCTGGGAGCCCTGCCCCTGCATGTATTTGCTGTAGTCGCCACCGTAGGACTGCATATACTGCTTGTAGTCTCCGGCCTGCAAGAAGTCCATGGACAAGCGAGGTTCACCCAATTTTTTTTATTCGGTGACTTGTAAGTGGAAGAAGTCAGGAAGCAAGGGTCTCAGCTCTATCACATGCACGATTTACTGCCTGCACCCTTTGCTCTCGTTTTACGTACATCATGTGGCAGAGTTGCTGTGGTCAGGAGGGTTCAGAGGCAACGCCGAGCAGTTGGGGGTGTGAGCAGGTATTTTTTTTGAATCAGGGTTGTCTCGAGTAACAAGCCTGGTAACATCGACAGTTGAAGCCATGCCCCACAGCTTGTGTACGGCGTCCAAAATCCCAAACAAATCGAGCCCCGACTGTTGTCGCGTCGTCTCGTGAGTGAGGGTCAGCATTGAAAGCGATGCAGAATGAAGAGCATGTTGGTTTAAGGTGCACAGGCCACTTCAGGATTCCTGAGCAGAAATGTTGAAACGGACCTTTGCGTTCTGGCTCTTGTTTCGTGCATTCCTTCAAAACAGCCGAACAGACGATCGTGCCTGGGAGCCCTGCCCCTGCATGTATTTGCTGTAGTCGCCACCGTAGGACTGCATATACTGCTTGTAGTCTCCGGCCTGCAAGAAGTTCATGGACCAGCGAGGTTCACATCTGTTTATTTGGGGAAGAGTATGTGAAAGAAGTCAGGAAGCAAGGGTCTATCACATCTACGATTTACTGCCTGCACCCTTTGCTCAATCGGAAACCCGGCCGGGGAATGGCTTTCAGTTCCCTCAATCTTGCCATAGTCCCCTCTCCAGATTGGCCATCCCCGCTCACAACCCAAAACGACATGTGCAAACAGCGACACGACAACGATTGATGAACATCAAGAACTGGACGATGTGTTTGGGGGCCTGATGCCTCAGGCTTAGCCAATCTGCCTGGTTAACGTGGGTGCTGCTTTGGATGTTGCCACATTGCTCTATCCATGATAACTTTGTTTCAACAGATGCCGGGTTGCACCACAAACAGCTCAGCTTCACGAGCACTGAAACTTCCAATTCATTTTCTCAGCCCTTCAATTTTGGACGATCGTGCCTGGGAGCCCTGCCCCTGCATGTATTTGCTGTAGTCGCCACCGTAGGACTGCATATACTGCTTGTAGTCTCCGGCCTGCAAGAAGTTCATGGACCAGCGAGGTCCACATCTGTTTATTTAGGGAAGAGTATGTGAAAGAAGTCAGGAAGCAAGGGTCTATCACATCTACGATTTACTGCCTGCACCCTTTGCTCAATCGGAAACCCGGCCGGGGAATGGCTTTCAGTTCCCTCAATCCTGCCATAGTCCCCTCTCCAGATTGGCCATCCCCGCTCACAACCCAAAACGACATGTGCAAACAGCGACACGACAACGATTGATGAACATCAAGAACTGGACGATGTGTTTGGGGGCCTGATGCCTCAGGCTTAGCCAATCTGCCTGGTTAACGTGGGTGCTGCTTTGGATGTTGCCAAATTGCTCTATCCATGATAACTTTGTTTCAACAGATGCCGGGTTGCGCCACAAACAGCTCAGCTTCACGAGCACTGAAACTTCCAAGAAGTTCATGGACCAGCGAGGCTCACATCTGTTTATTTGGGGAATGGTAAGTGGAAGAAGTCAGGAAGCAAGGGTCTCAGCTCTATCACATGTACGATTTACTGCCTGCACCCTTTGCTCAGACGATTCGAATCATTCTGCATCGCTTTCAATGCTGATCCTCACGACACGACGCGACAACCTTGTGGGCTCGATTTGCTTGGGGCCTGGAGGCTCAGATTCAGTCTAGAATTTGGAAGCCAGACACAAGCTGTGGGGCATGGTTACATCGGTGTCACCAGGTAGTTATTGGTCGCAGGCCGGGGGCATCACCATCCTGATGCATTCTTGACCGCCTGACACAATACCTACCTGACTACCCAAAGAAACGACATAATGTTAGGAGCCCTCAGAATTCTTGAGAAGAGTAACAGACTAACAGGCCAAGCTAAGCAACCTGCCATCGTCAGAAGTTATACTAAAAGGAAAAGTCACCGGCTTTCAACTTTCCATTTGGGACAAGCGCGCCTGGGAGCCATGACCCTGCATGTACTTGCTGTAGTCCCCACCGTAGGACTGCAGATGCTGCTGGTAGTCCCCACCCTGCGACCCATGGTTCTGAGTGTACTTGGAGTAGTACTGCTGGTAGCCACTTCCCTTCAGGCTTGGGGTGGTGCTTCACGAGGTTTAATTCTGCAGGCCATCCCTGTGTAGGCTAGACCCTGCTGACACACTGACAATTTCCGCCGGAAACTGTAGGAACTGAGGCTTAGCGCATCGAAAGTGTTGAGTTTCTTCGAATCACTCTGTCCCCCCGAGCACGGCGAGAAGGGAGGCGAAGACCATTTAGTACACTGAGATACACTGCCCAGAGCTTCTCAGTTGAATACTCGGTCATCAAAAATCTTAACTTCTAGCCGGGCAGGCTGCTGCTGCAGGCTCCATCGAACCAAGGCTTGACATCAGCATGAAGGACATTGAAAAACATCATTTTACTTTGCATGCAGACAAAGGCAAATGAATTAATGAACAAATTTTAAGCATGTGCACGTGTATCTATGGGTCTATGTACGTATGTACATACGTGTGATCTGTTTTCAATCCTCAGACCAAATGTTGCGACCTAGCCTGAGAGCCATGTCCTTGCATGTACTTGCTGTAGTCGCCACTCTGGGGGCCCTGATTCATGTACTGCTGGTAGCCGCTTTGCTCATGCTCTGAATGGTGTGCCTTCTCATCGCTCTCCTTCGCGGAGTCCTTCTTGGAGTGAGAATCATCGGATGCAGCGAAGCTTACCGGCTTTGCCTCTGCGGACTTCTTCGACTCTGCCGAGGATGGCATGTACTTGCTCGCATAGTCGCCTGCGTATTGTGACATGAACTTCTCGTAGCCACCGGAGGCACCCGAGCCGTACTGAGACATGTACTTCTTGTAGTACTTCTCGTAGTCCCCACTCCCGCCGTTTCCGCCACCCCCGTGCATGTACTTCTCGTAGTCACCTGCGTATTGGCTCATATATTTCTGGTAGTCCCCCTGCGCTGCAGACAGGACCGGAACGAAGAGCCCCAAGAGCGAAAGCAGAGCCATGGCTGGTGTCAAGAGATGGGAGGACGAGTGAGAACTCCTGCGCTACAAGCTTCCGCCAAAATGGCTCCGCAACCACGCAGGCTACACCCCAGCAGTCCGGAAGACAAAACAACAACCCCACGAAGGACCAATGACCAAAGAATGATCGTACTGGTATGGTAGATGTACACAGATGTGCCGACAACATCTTTCAGTGCTGGCCTTCCGTGCTGCGAAAGACCTTCTGATCACTCAAGGCTTGGCGGTTTGGGAGGGTTGAAACAAAATTACAGCGCACACAGACCATCATGGTCTTCTTGCCGAAGTGGGATCTAGGCGACACACTGGCGAGAGGCAGCGCAGGACGACCAATAGGGACATCGGCGCATTCTTCAGGGCCAACCTGGCTTTTAATTCTTGTATAGGGTTTAGGGTTTAGGGTTTGGGGTTTAGGGGTTTGCCGCTGTCGTTTCTGGATGGCTGGCTTCCTTCACGCTGACGAGATGGCTCAGATCACACAGACGTTGGCAAATTCCATGGTACTGACATCTCTGCTCTTGTTGCTGCATTTGCCCTCTAGAGTCTTGCGAGCAGGTTTCGGGCCCCAGGATGGGAGGTGTAGGACCGCCGAGAGGTTAGGCTTGGCGGCTTCAGGGTTTGCTGGTTTCTGCCAAAAAAAACGTGCCCCAAGACTGCATAAGCTCGGGAAAGACGTGAGTTCGTACACGCTAAACCTATAAACCCAAAACAATAAACCATAAACCCTGAACCGACCCATTCCAGAATTGCGGAGGCCCGGCAGTTCTCTTGCTCAGCGGAAGCTTTGAGCATAGTATCTTATGGTATACTGCAAATCTTGTTGTATGTTGTAACCGTAGAGTATCATCGTAATAGTACAGTAGACTAGTCGACTATACTATAATGTATGTTGGACTTTTGGCCACATGTCACATCGGTTCTTTGTTGTCCTTGCCTGCCTCAGTTCTAAATCATGCGACATCGATACCCGAGAAGCGCGCCAAGCCCGGAACCCTGAAGCCATACATCTTCAACTCGAAGCCCCAAAGCCCGAAAGCATCCCTCATGTTGCAGCAACCGCGACGATGTGAAGATTCTGTAAGACAGGGGGCTGAACAAGTACGATCAGGCTTTCTCCGGTGTGTCAAACTGCAGTTATGCTTGTAAAGGACTATAGCGGAGGGCCTTAGTACAAATCGTTGCCGTAGCTTCGAAGGCCCTGCCGTGGTTTACGGATGCAGGGTTTGGGGTTGAAGGCTAAGGGTCTTTCGTAGCATCATGTCCTGGTCCCGAAACTCTACAAATACCGTTTCACCTGCACCCCTACACTCCGACATGTGAGCGATGTAGGCAAGACACATCGAAGTCAGCAACATGCCGCTGAAGCACCTTAGGTTCAGTGCATTCTCTTTCTGTGAGTTCCGCTCTGGTTTCAGGAAGCTTTCGGTTGCAAATCTTCTTGGCATTCTGCTACGACTCTGACCTTCTGCCGGGGCTGACTTTGATGAATTTGCGCATCCCTTCCCCGCATCATCTCCCACTCAGCACGCACGCACGCACGCGCACAGAGAGAGAGAGAGAGNNGAGAGAGAGAGCGAGAGAGAGAGGTACAGTATACATATATATATATATGTATGTATGTATGTATGTATGTATGTATGTATGTATGTGTATATGTATATATATATATACACGGACGGACACACATTCTCTAGATCTCTTTCTCTCTCTTTCTCTCTCTCTCTCTGTCTCTCTCCCTCCCGTGCTCTTGTCCTTAACGCACATGGGGGAGATCGTCTCGAAGTCAGCAGCACGGCAAAAGTACGCGTGTCATCATCCTGAACCCGGAAGCGCCTAACCCACAGAAAAGCGAGAAGTCCTGAACCGCACAGGCGTCAATACCTATCGCTCCAAGTCCGACACCCTTCAAACCCAAAAGCTTTGGGCTTAAGCTCTTCTTTATGGAGAAATGTGTGTCCAAGAGGGCAGGGCCACGAAGGCAGGGGTAGAACCACTCCATCCACTCCGGAAGCATACCTAGCATCGCATAATAAAAAAAACCCTCACAAAAACCACCATGGAAAAGACCAGAGCAGCTCGAAGTACTGAGGAAACATCCAAGTCTTCCTGGGGCCCCCCCCGCTCCAGGACTCAGCCTGCCCGAAAGAGCTGAGGTCCGAACGGGACCACGAGAGACCACCTGGCGACATCGCGGAAGGAGCCGATGTGAATGGACCTCGGAGCTCGAGACTTCCACGGTTCACAATCATGTAGGGGCCTTGTTAGTGAGCATGATTCATTTTGGGGCTCCTTTATAGTAGAAGTACAAGAAGGAACCCTAGAAGGAATAATATTAGTAACTTATTCAGGCTTCGAAAGTACTCGGATCAAGGACTTGAGGGCTTGGCTTGCTGTGAGGTCGCGAGGAGAGAGTGATGGTCTAATCTAAGTCTTTTCGGGGCCTACAGTAAGGTGGGCTGTTCTTGGATTTTCTATTCAAGCCGCCTCCATCATCATGATCCTCAGACCGGCAGCAACAAGCACAGGAACTTGACCTTGAAGCTAGAAGAAAACGTGCACAGATCATTGCGCCTAGCAGTACTAAACCCCACGAACTCATCCCCTATATAGTTAAACTCTTACCCGTAAACCTAAACTTTGCCCTAAACCCTTGAAGAACTCAATCCTTCAAACGCTCAAACCCCACCACCGCAAACATTTCAAACACCCGAAACCCCGCCGCATCCCAAGACTCAAGAATTCTCCGAGCCCGAACCGATTCAAATTCCCTAAACTCCCACCCTTGCACTCCAGACTCGAAACCTCCAAACCCCAAATGCGTCCTGAGCCCTAGACCCTTATCCCTTTTCTGAAAATCCCAACCCCAAAACCTGAAGCACCCGCAAAACACACAGAAAAGCAAACCCTGAAGCCGCTTGAAGCTCACTCAAACCTCCTAAGACCTGTTGTAATCCTTCAATGTCGTGAGAAACCTCCTAAACCCCCGAAATTCCAAGCCCCAGACCCGAAGCCCCTGAAAGCCCTGAAAGCCATGAACGCCCTGAAAGCACTCGAAAAAAATGTTTTTTAATAAAAAAGACAAAACCTATTTAAAAGAAGACAAGACCTATATTTAAACAAAGACAAACAATCCGAGGTCCGAGGCTTCTGGGCGAAGCAGAGCAGAAACGCGGAGCAGAAGGCCATCTGCAAGGCCACCAAGCAGCACCTCCAGCTTTGCAGGGAACTGCAGAAACTTGGACCATGGGTTGAAGATGATTAGTGCTAGGATCCCTTATCCTTTACCTTATACAGGCATCTGAGGGGTTATGATATGATGCTCCAAGTTTATGGCTTCTACTGATCGGGTGCTCAGGGCCCTGAAGGCTTCAAAACTTCAGGATTTGGGGGCTTTATGGAAGCTTTATGGGTGTAGGGGCTTTCAGGGCTTAGGGTTTAGGGGCTCTGGGGGCTCTGGGGGCTTTGAGACTTTCAGGGCTTTCAGGGGTTTTAGTGCTTTGAATCTTTGGGGCCCTTGCGATCTACCGTGAACTACTTGTTAGCATAGGCTCGGGAACTGCTGCGATATGGAATTCTCCAGACAAGGCTGGGGAATGATTCAAGGCGTCCTGGGACAAACCGCTTGGGGCTTCGAGTTTACGGCCTACGGTTTTCCAGCGCCCAAAGCCAGGCCTCCGGTGATGCGAAATCGAACCGACTCAAACCTGAAAAACCTAAGCCCCAAGCCCTAATTAAACCCCGGAACTGAACCTTTGCAGCCTTGGGCTATACAGCTTGGTCTTGCAAGCCTCCAAAGCCCTGAAACATGTTTACTGGGTTGTAGTTTCGGCGCTACTCGTCATCGTATTTATGAAGAGCGTCCTCTATAGGACCATGAGAAAAAACGGGAAACTCTAGGGTTTCCCAAAGTGCCACCCAGTGAAGGCTTGACGTGAGGATTTCGGGTTCGTGCAACTGGACCTAGGCGACGGCCAAGAGTTTTATGCAACTGGAGCTCTGTCCTGACCTTTATGTGCAAGGACCAAGGCGCTCTGCTGGAAACCGTGTCACAGCCATTTTGTTAAAGACCTGGTGCAGGGTTGAAGGCGTATATCAGGGGTGCAGGGCCCCTCAGATGCAAATACGCGAAAATGGATATTGACCTTAACTCATTCCTATTACCCTGATTTCTAGTCGCGATGCTAGTACTAATGTGATCACTGTTCTTACTGCCAGATGCTTATGCTTACTATACGGCTTTCCTTGAACGGAGTACAGGGGCTTTCCATGTTCGGGATTTTTACGGCTTAGAATCCAAAAGCTTCAGAGAGAAAGGCATTTCAAGAACAAGCAAGCGGCCATCATCCCCACGGAGCAAATGCACCTGCGGCGACGGCGTCGGGATGCTGAGGGCTAAGGATCGGATCTGCTACTGTCGAGACCCCTTATATCCTGGCGAACCGCACATGTGCATGATGAAGATATTCTCGGAAACTCCGCCTCAACACTTACACGCACTGCGCACTTGACTGAACCCACGGACGAACAGCCAGGTTATGTCATAGTGCTGCAACATTGACGTCGCTGTGTATCTCCTCGAAGCGTGAATGCATCGCTACCAAGGTCAAAAGGACTCGCAGCGCTATGTCGCAAACCGCAATGGAGAGGCCTGAATGAGAAAAAACCGTTAATGGTGTATGATACAGTTACTGGGGACCGTAACGAAATACTGGGACTATTGATCCTTAGACCCGGTAGCTTGGGTCCCTTATTGTTCTCAGCCAGTGGGAGACAAGGGAGGGCTAAGATGCGAAGACTGCCCTCCCTCCCAAAATCTAGACTGTGCATAAACCCAATTACCCTTTAAAGCCCGGTACCGAAGCCCTAGGCCCGAGGGCAAAACTTGAAATGGGCCCTAAAAGCCCCAAACAGGGACGGCGCCAGCTTGCGACGCTGAGCACAATCTGTGAGGACTGGACCTCGGGAGCATCTGTCAGAGAAAC